GGAGGTTGAGGCAAATTGCCTGGCTGCTGGTTACACGCAGACAGACACCAGGGCGGTTAGAAGAGCACAGGAGGGCGCGGTACGCATCAGAGAAGCTTTGAAAACCAGTTTCATGACTGGCCAGGCTACGGTGTGAAAGTTCTGTTTGTTTCTCCTTGATGAAACCCCCCGCCCCTTGGTTCACTCTACTTCCCTGTAAGCTAACCACCCTCCCCTCCTCCCTTCGATCACCGCTTGCAGAGGCAATAAAGTCATTGTTGCTTCACATTCATGCATTCTTTATTCATTCATCACACAAATAGGGGGATGACTACCAAGGTAGCCCAGGAGGGGTGGTGGAGGAGGGAAGGAAAATGCCACACAGCACTTTAAAAGTTTACAACTTTAAAATTTATTGAATGCCAGCCTTCTGTTTTTTGGGCAATCCTCTGTGGAGGAGTGGCTGGTTGGCCGGAGGCCCCCCCCACCGCGTTCTTGGGCGTCTGGGTGTGGAGGCTATGGAACTTGGGGAAGAGGGCAGTTCATTACACAGGGGCTGTAGTGGCAGCCTGTGCTCCAGCTGCCTTTGCTGCAGCTCAACCATACACTGGAGCATACTGGTTTGATCCTCCAGCAGCCTCAGCATTGAATCCTGCCTCCTCTCATCACGCTGCTGCCACATTTGAGCTTCAGCCCTGTCTTCAGCCGGCCACTTACTCTCTTCAGCCCGCCACCTCTCCTCCCGGTCATTTTGTACTTTCCTGCACTCTGGCATTATTTGCCTCCACGCATTTGTCTGTGCTCTGTCAGTGTGGGAGGACAGCATGAGCTCAGAGAACATTTCATCACGAGTGCGTTTTTTTTTCTTTCTAATCTTCACTAGCCTCTGGGAAGGAGAAGATCCTGTGATCATTGAAACACATGCAGCTGGTGGCGGAAAAAAAAGGGACAGCAGTATTTAAAAAGACACATTTTATAAAACAGTGGCTACACTCTTTCAGGGTAAACCTTGCTGTTAACATTACATACATAGCACATGTGCTTTCGTTACAAGGTCACATTTTGCCTTCCCCCACCGCGTGGCTACCCCCTCAACCCTCCCCATGGCTAACAGCAGGGAACATTTCTGTTCAGCCACAGGCAAACAGCCCAGCAGGAACGGGCACCTCTGAATGTCCCCTTAAGAAAAGCACTCTCTTTCAACCAGGTGACCATGAATGATATCTCACTCTCCTAAGGATAACACAGAGAGATAAAGAACGGATGTTGTTTGAATGCCAGCAAACATACACTGCAATGCTTTGTTCTACAGTGATTCCCGACTACGTGCTACTGGCCTGGAGTGGTAAAGTGTCCTACCATGGAGGATGCAATAAGGCTGCCCTCCCCAGAAACCTTTTGCAAAGGCTTTGGGAGTACATCCAGGAGAACCACGAATGCCAGGGCAAATTAATCCTTTCACATGCTTGCTTTTAAACCATGTATAGTATTTTAAAAGGTACACTCACCGGAGGTCCCTTCTCCACCTAACGGGTCCAGGAGGCAGCCTTGGGTGGGTTCGGGGGGTACTGGCTCCAGGTCCAGGGTGAGAAACAGTTCCTGGCTGTCGGGAAAACCGGTTTCTCCGCTTGCTTGCTGTGAGCTATCTACAACTTCATCATCATCATCTTCCTCATCCCCAAAACCTGCTTCTGTGTTGCCTCCATCTCCATTGAAGGAGTCAAACAATACGGCTGGGGTAGTGGTGGCTGAACCCCCTAATATGGCATGCAGCTCATCATAGAAGCGACATGTTTGGGGCTCTGACCTAGAGTGGCCGTTTGCCCCTCTGGTTTTCTGTAGGCTTGCCTCAGCTCCTTAAGTTTCACGCGGCATTGCTTCGGGTCCCTGTTATGGCCTCTGTCCTTCATGCCCTGGGAGATTTTGACAAAGGTTTTGGCATTTCGAAAACTGGAACGGAGTTCTGATAGCACGGATTCCTCTCCCCATACAGCGATCAGATCCCATACCTCCCGTTCAGTCCATGCTGGAGCTCTTTTGCAATTCTGGGACTCCATCATGGTCACCTCTGCTGATGAGCTCTGCATGGTCACCTCTGCTGATGAGTTCTGCATGGTCACCTGCAGCTTGCCACGTTGGCCAAACAAGAAATGAGATTCAAAAGTTTGCGGTTCTTTTCCTGTCTACCTGGCCAGTGCATCTGAGTTGAGAGTGCTGTTCCAGAGCGGTCACAATGGAGCACTCTGGGATAGCTCCCGGAGGCCAATACCATTGAATTGTGTCCAGAGTACCCCAAATTCGACCCGGCAAGGCCGATTTAAGCACGAATCCACTTGTCAGGGGTGGAGTAAGGAAATCGATTTTAAGAGCCCTTTAAGTTGAAAAAAAGGTCTTCATCGTGTGGACGGGTGCAGGTTTACATCGATTTAACGCTGCTAAATTCAACCTAAAGTCCTAGTGTAGACCAGGGCTGAGAACAGTCTAGAGCCATCCTCTTTGGAACCCCCTTTCAGGTAGCTGAAAGCAGCTATCAAATCCCCCCTCATTCTTCTCTTCCGTAGACTAAACATCCCCAGTTCCCTCAGCCTCTCCTCATAACTCATGTGTTCCAGTCCTCTTATCATTTTTGTTGCCCTCTGCTGGACTCTTTCCAATTTTTCCACATCCTTCTTGTAGTGTGGGGCCCAAAACTGGACACAGTACTCCATATGAGGCCTCACCAGTGTTGAATAGAGGGGAACGATCACGTCCCTCGATCTGTTGGCAATGCCCCTACTTATACATCCCAAAATGCCATTGGCCTTCTTGGCAATAAGGGCACACTGTTGACACACTGTTGAGCATATAGCCTTGTTTATTACAATGCCAGCAGTAAAGCTGTGGGAAATTTTACAATACTGTGTATGCTTGGGGAGCAAGCCAAAAACCTCCTTTGCCTGTTAAACAGAGGGTATGTCTACACTGCAACATAAACTCAGGGTTAGTGGGATTTAAGTCAGCTGACCCTGGGTTAGAGGACCCAGGCTTGAGTGTGGGCACTGATTGTTAACCCAGGCTTGAATTTGTGATTCTGGCATACACACTGCAGCATATAGAGCTGAGTCAAACCAACATATCCAACGCCCCAACACCCACATCAAATTAGGCTGCTCTAGCCCTTTGACTGTGGTGCACTGTAGGAAAACTTGACTGTCCACCCTGCACATTACGGGAAGTTTGAACAGCCTGCCAATACAGCCTGCCAAGGAGTCATTTGGGTCAGTGCACTCCCATGTACTGGAGCCAGCAACATGGATGAGGCACTTTTTGAAGACTTTCTCTTGCTCGCACTTTCAGTCCTGTGTCAGGCAATGGGCAGTATTTCTGTGACATGCTGGTGGACATTTCAGAGACATTTTCTGAGCTACCAAAGGCATCTGACAGAGCTTTCGATGGAGCAGCAGGAGGAGGACCCTTGCATGGCAAATGAACCGGCTGATGCTTCTCAGTATGCTCAGTACAGCTTCGGATGCCCCTAATGTAGACTGGAACTCCTGGAGCAGGGCCACAAGCACAGATGGGTAGGATCACATTGTCATACAGACCTGGGATGACCAGCAGTGGGTCCTGAACTTCCGCAAGAAGAAAGCTACATTTCTGGAGCTTTGAGAGCAGGTTGTCCTGACCCTCCAGTATAAAAACACATGCATGAGGCCAGTCCAGAAGCAGGTTGCTGTAGCTGAAGCTGTCCCAGACCTCTTGCAAACCAGTTTGATGTTGGAAAGTCAAGTGTGGGTAAAGTGGTTGCAGTGATTTCTGAGGCAATCAGGTGTGTGGTTTACCCCAAAGTGGCTGGGGTCATTGATGGGACTCGTGTGCCCATGGTTTGCCCTCCTCAAGAAGTACATAAACTGCACAGGATACTACTCCGTTGTTATGCAGGCTCTCATGGGCCACAGAGGGCAATTTATGAACATCAGCATGGGTTGCACTGGGAAAGTTCATGATAAGGAGTTTACATTCATGGACAGCCTGGGACACTATTCCCACCAACTGATATTATCATAAATGGATTTACTGTCCCCACCATTATTCTAGGGAACCTGCATACCTCCTTTTGCTTTGGCTTATGAAACCATTCCCTGATCTCAGAGGCCCTGGCAAAAGAAGGTTTATTACACTCTCAGCAGGTGCAGAATGGTGGCTGAATGTGCTTTCGGCACACTGAAATCTCACTTGAGATGTTTACAGCCCCCTTTGGGTGCCAGACAGTGTCATCAGTGCTGTCTCCATTACTGTGGCTTGCTGTACTCTTCACAATATTTGTGAAGCCTGAGGTGAGCCTCATCCCACTGAATGGGCCTACGACAGGCAGGGGCTACTGAATTGGTACACTCAGCTAGAAAGTGAACCTTCCGCAGCTGGATGCACCTGAGCAACAGAAATCTGGGATGCTTTGTGCCCCCATGTTTTGGACTTACATGGTCTAATGGAAGAAGGCGATTAGTACCTTTATGAATGTGCTTGTGTCGGAGGGGAATAGGGCTCATTGATTGTGGGGGGGATATAGTGCTTGGGGAGGGGTGTGGGATTTTAATGCCTTGCGATGTACTTATGAATGACATGACCACCTATGAAATGGGAAAGAGGGGATTATTCACAGTACAGATTGATGTAAGGAAATGATTGAACTATGAATTGCTATATATTGAGGGACAGTCTTTGCATAAAGAAAAGGAGTACTTGTGGCACCTTAGAGACTAACCAATGTATTTGAGCATGAGCTTTCGTGAGCTACAGCTCACTTCATGCATCTGATGAAGTGAGCTGTAGCTCACGAAAGCTCATGCTCAAATACATTGGTTAGTCTCTAAGGTGCCACAAGTACTCCTTTTCTTTTTGCGAATACAGACTAACATGGCTGTTCCTCTGAAACCAGCCTTTGCATACTAATTCCTAATTGTCCCTGATCATGTTTTTTACCTTTATTATCTTGAAGACACATCATATTCATATGATATGAAGCTGTGATAGAAATAAACTTTCTTGATGAAATTAAAAACTTTATAAACATGTATTAGAAAACTACTACATTCACCCATTCCCAGGCAGGCCAGCTGTCCTTACCATGCCAAAACACGAGTAACAACAGACCCTTACGGAAACAAAACAAAAAAAACAAAGTGCATGAACAAGTGCAAACAGTGAAACCACGTACAAGACAGAAATTCCCTATCCTGTCATGTCCCCAGGCCGATGGTTCTCCTTTCCCTTCTTTTCCCATGAACCGGGCACATGACACTGTAGGAGGGAGATGGAGACATCCACAGGGGAGGAGGTCAATATGGAGGGCTGCATGAGGTAAGGTTGCCCTGCCAGCCACTCATGGGGCCTGATTGCATGCGCCACCCAGCCATAGAGTCTTCCAATCTACTTCTGAATTGCAGCATAGGGTAGTACGCAGGGTACTTGGGCCTGTGGGTGTGGGTAATGCAGCAGGAGCCACAGTCACTATTGACATAAGCCACTCAAACTGCACTTTCTGCTGAGCTCTGTCCTCCTCCCTTAGCCACCTTTCCTATTCCAGAATCTGCAAAGCAAGTGCCAGCTCCCTCAAACTGTGCAGCCAACCTGAGCCTTTCCTTGTGCCGTGCGGCATGCCTTTTCCTCTACTATAAGGCCATCTGTCTTTGGTAGCAGACCTGCTTGTTGGCCCTCTCCAGAACTTCAACCATAAGTTTGTCATGGAAACGCTTCTGTCAAGGTCCATTGAGTCAGGCTTCTGCTGCAGTACTGAAGCTTGCAGAGGCTGAGGGGCCTGGAACAGGACAAGACTGTGTGTGGGGGTGGGGGTGAAGAAAGGTGTTATTGTCTCAACTAGATCACTGCAGGAACGCAGAGAAAATCCTCATGGAATTTCAAGGCCATAAAATGATACTTTTTCAAACTGAACGTCAATATATTGTGAAAAGGATGCTTCAGACCACTGAAGTTCCCTAGCCACAGCCTGGTTAATCACAGTGAAAGAATTACAGGCACAGTGGAAAGTTAAAAATGGAAAGCTGATTTTTTTATTTTAGAAAACTGCGGAACACTTGGGTTTGGGGTGGGTGAGAGTGGAGGGCTGCTATCAGTAGCTGTGCTACAAAAGATTTTTCTACAATTTCAGGCCTTTCCAATTTTGGAGGACATAATAGTTCTTGTGGTGCCTGATTTGGCAAAGGAGATGTTATTCCAAGCTGCTGGGGGGAAACCTGCAGTTTATGCAACAGACGTATTCAAATGTCTAGTAACTGAACAGCACATCTATGAGTGGAATGGGCTGGTCAGCTACCAAGGTGGCCGTGGAAAATATGCCCTTCCCTGAAATATGATTACCTATGTGAAGTTCCTGCTTCAGGCAAAGCTTCAGCTATTAGCACCCAGGATTAAGTCAGAATTCATGAGGGAATCAAGAGGATGCTGTGTTAGATTCCACATGGTGTAGCCTGTTATGACAGCATGCAAACACGCAGAAATTCACAGCCTTCCTCCTCCCAACCCCCAGCATATTTCCCCTTCCTCCTCACCACCCCCAGAAAATTTCAAACCACAGTCATATTTGGGACACATTATTTTGTCATCTATGGACTGCACTGACTAAAATGAACTAGATTTGTGAATGGAACACATTTCCTCAAACATTCACAGAGTTCACTGTTTCCAGGCAGCTCGATAGACTGTAGAATGGTTACAGAGTGGCGTACTTACAGGCATGGCAATGTAAGGTTATTGTTTTTAAGAAATAGGAATGGCCGAGCAAAAATCTCTGCCTTTCCCGTAAAAATACACTTTAAAGTTGTTCTTTATTGTTTGCATGTCCTGGTCGCTATTTTGAACTCCATGTGATGGCGGTGGTTGGGTGGAAGAGCCATACCGCTGGCATATAATCCGCCACTAGCAGATACAGGCTGCTAGCTGGGGTTCTCATAACTTTTGCATTGGTCACATTACTGTATTAATAAACATGAAAATGGAGCCAGAAACTTACTGGGGCTTAGGAACAGCTTTGGTCCCATGTGTGCCTGCAGCAGGCTCCGCCGCGGGCTGCTCCTTGGGGAGTGCATCAGCCCGTACGAGTACAGACCCAGAATGCACTGCTGCTGCTCCTGTGCCAAAGTCTGCTCTGGAACTGGTCTCAGCAACAGAGTGACTTCATTGTCCCCACTTGGAGACTGCTGCAGGTTCCTGTCATTCCCTATGGTGGATTCTGAAGACAGTGGGGCCCCATCCCAGCTGACCAGGTCATCATGCAGTACTGTTGGCTCCATGCTCAGCGCAGTGCCCGGTGACCAGACTCCTCACAACACACATGATTTTGACGAGTTGCCCGAGGTGTGGTTCTGGCCGTTGGGTTTCCGGTACTTGCTCTTGAGCCATTTAAGCCACGCCCTTGCACTGGGTACTGGTTGGGTAAATGTGCAAAGCTGCCAGCTTCTTCCCTATTTGCTAATATGCGCAGTCATTCCTGGTACTCTTACTTAAGTCCACAGTTTTGCTAGCCTTGCATCAGAGATTTACCAAAATCAGGCTGTGCCCCCATGTCCACAAAGCAGCGTGTTTTGCAAAAGGCTTGTTCTGTTCAGACTCCATTGCAAACACTGATGGTGTGTTTTCAGCTCGATGGTCAGAAGACAATGGAAGGGTTAACACTAACTCAGAGAGTTGCTGCAGTACACCAAGGGTGGTTGCTTCTGTTTTGAATAGAGTAGATTCAAGATTCTTGGGATAGAGAGGACAAAGGAAGTTGGCCCATGGGATTGTGGGATACTTTTTGGTGGACTTCCAGGTCCAGGATCTGAGTCAAGCGAGGCTATTCTGCACTGCAAAGCAATAGGGCTTGAACCTTAGGTTAAGACTTGACTTGTGCTCAGACCCTGCAGCCCTGCAGGCTTCTGAGACCCTGGGTCCGAGCCCTGTGTTAGTGCCACTTGAATGGACAGAAGGGGTGTTAGGCTGGAGGCTGAGTTCAGGGTTCCATTGCAGTGCAGACATACCCAGAGAATGCTCTTCATTCTTTCTTTTAACACATAAGGATACAATAACAAGTCAGATGACTCTTGGCTCATGATGTTTTTACAGCTTGTCATTGTGCTGCAGTTCATGGCCACTCAGAACTTTGCAGGAGCAGCAGCCGCCACAGATCTTCCTCCTATAAGTGATCACTGGAGCTAAAGGAGAATCATCATTAGATGTAAGCAGTATAGGGCCTCTGAGACATAGGTAAGCAGTTCTGATTCCATCTATTGTAAAGCAGCGTCACTCTCTCACACACACACTAGAGAGTGTAATATATATATTTATTTTCCAATGTATAGGACATGTACCCGTTGTATAGATGTGATGCATTTACAATTCAAAAAGATCAATTAATTAACCACACCTTGGCTACAATAGCTGCCATTTGACTAAAACTCCCCTGATATTCAGCAGTCCTCAGTCTTACCTTCCTCCCATCTTCCTTAGTGGATGCCTGAGTTAATAGACAGGCTTATAACCAAGTCCAGAAGTCAACACAGACTATGGCTGTGTCACTCTGGTAAAGGGAGAGATGTCCAGAGAGTGGCCTCCCACCACTTATAATGATGCAATTTTTCCCTAACCTTTTGGAAGGGGCCATCAGGGGAGGTGTGAGCTGTTGGAATGGAAGCCCCAGCCTTGGTTTCTATAATTAGGCAACCTGCTAACTCTTCATCCCATACTGGCCTGTCTTCAGGGAGTCTCCAGGATGCTTTTTTGCAGTTATTCAGTCTGACCTAGCCCTTTCCTATCTAAATATTACATGGCACTGATTTCTACCCAGAATCCTTTGCATTCATGCTTGCACACTGAAACCTCATTATTCTCTGGTCTCCCTTCTGTCCTGTCCTCCCAGGTTCTGTGTAATTAGCAACCAATCTTCTCCTGGATCCTGGACACCCCTTATCTGTGTCTAGGCGGGGGGAAAATGCTTTGTTATTCTACAAAACCCCATATCTTTGACTTTGAAGCAGAAATGATAAAAGCCTGGGAATGAAAAATAAGCAAAGATTCACACACAAAGAGCGAAGTACTGAAGTGGAAAGGGTGAAAGGATTCCCTTAAGTCTGGAACAAACAACACCCTGCAGGTGGAAGGGAGAATCATAGAAGATTAGGGTTGGAAGAGACCTCAGGAAGTCATGTAGTCCAATCCCCTGCTCAAAGCTGGACCAATCCCCAACTAAGTCATCCCATGAAGATAGGCCATGTTTGTACCCTGCCTGGGGAGGTGGAGAAGTAGCAGCCACATCACAAGGGAGGGGCCACTGATGTGATTTGGGAAGAGAAAGAGAAAGACACAGAGAAGAGAAACTCAGAGACACAGTGAATCAGAAGCTGACAGAGATAAAGAGGTGGGAAGAGACAGAGAAACTCAGGCCGGCTCTACACTACAGAGTTAGGTTGATACAAGGCAGCTTACATAGAATATCAGGATTGGAAGGGACCTCAGGAGCTCATCTAGTCCAACCACTTGCTCAAAGCAGGACCAATCCCCAACTAAATCATCCCAGCCAGGGCTTTATCAAGCCTGACCTTAAAAACCTCAAAGGAAGGAGATTCCACCACTTCCCTAGGTAACGCATTCCAATGTTTCACCACCCACCTAGTGAAAAAGTTTTTCCTAATATCCAACCTAAACCTCCCCCACTGTAACTTGAGACCATTACTCCTCGTTCTGTCATCTGCTACCATGGAGAACAGTCTAGATCCATCCCCTTTGGAACCCCCTTTCAGGTAGTTGAAAGCAGCTATCAAATCCCCCCTCTTTCTCTTCTGCAGACTCAACAATCCCAGTTCCCTCAGCCTCTCCTCATAAGTCATGTGTTCCAGTCCCCTAATCATTTTTGTTGCCCTCCGCTGGACGCTTTCCAAATTTTCCACATCCTTCTTGTAGTGTGGGGCCCAAAATTCAGACACAGTACTCCACAGTACTCCAGATGAGGCCTCACCAAAGTTGAATAGAGGGGAACGATCACATCCCTTGATCTGCTGGCAATGCCCCTACTTATACAACCCAAAATGCCATTAGCCTTCTTGGCAACAAGGGCACACTGTTGACTCACATCCAGCTTCTCCTCCACTGTAACCACTAGGCTCTTTTCTGCAGAACTGCTGCCGAGCCATTTGGTCCCTAGTCTGTAGCGGTGCATGGGATTCTTCTGTCCTAAGTGCAGGACTCTGCACTTGTCTTTGTTGAACCTCATCAGATTTCTTTTGGCCCAATCCTCTAATTTGTCTAGGTCCCTCTGTGTCCTATCCCTCAACCTAACTGTGTAAGAATCTACACTACAATGTTGCTCCCACCAATATAACTTGCCCGTTATGCCAACTTAATAACTTCACCCCCATGAGAGGTGTAGCACATAGGTCAACATAGTCGGGTGACACAGTGTCAGTGCAGACGTTGCGTTACTTACGGCAACGTTAGTGGCCTTCACTAGGTTTCCCACAATACCTCACTGTGTTTTGACCTCTTGCAGCGTTTTGACCTCTGCTGCCCGGCGGCCAGGTAAACAGGTACATGCCCCAACCCTTTTAAAGGCCGACACATTTTTGAAATTCCATTTCCTGTTTGCTTGGCGTGGAGAGCTCACATAGCAACTGCCCAGCTGACCATGCCGGCTCCACCCAGCAAGCGCGCTCCTGCCTGGAGTACACAGCAGGTGGTCGATCTCCTGGGCCTGTGGGGAGAAGAGGCTATGCAGGCACAGCTCCGAAACTTTGTCATCTATGAGCAGATTGCTCAGAGCAGGGGGGAGAAGGGCTACAAGGGGGACACACATCAGGGCTGCGTGAACGTCAAGGAGCTGTGGCAGGCAAACCAGAAGGCAAAAGAGGCGAATGGTCACTCTGGTGCCGAGCTGAAGACATGCCACTTCTCCAAGGAGCTGCATGTCATTCTTGGGGGCAACCCCACCACACCACCCCTGAGGGTCCCATGGGTACTTTGCGGGATCTGGAGTCACAGGCCACCACAGTGAACCGGGTGTTGGACAAGGAACAAGAGAAGGAGAATTGGGGACAGGTGACCAGGGGATCCAGTGGTGCTGTGACCCATTTTGACTCCTGAGCAGTTCAGTGAGTCCCAGAAGTCCAGGGATGGCAAGCCTGATGCAGGGGAAGAAACCTCTGGTAAGTATGTAGTTTGCTTTGACATTGCAGGGACACATCTGTTCATTTACTCTTTTTCAGTCACCCTGCAAGAGGTAGTTAATAACCAACAGAGGTAGAGTTGCTATCTGCTTCTCAACAGTTAGGCAGAGGGAGCCCTGAAGAACAGTTTGTTTATGTGCACTGAAGGCCTGTGAATCCTCCACAGAGATCTCGAGGAAGCTTTCCTGGAGGCAGTCTGCAATCCTCTGCCAAAGGTTTCTGGGGAGGGCTGCCCTATTTCTTCTGCCACAGTAGGATGCTTTCCCACACCACTCAGCAATTACTTCAGCAGGCACCACTGCAGTACACAGGGTAGCACCATACACATTTGGTCTGCACCGGATGCGTGCAGGAGCTGTTCCCTTTCAGCCTCTGTTACCCTCTGGAGTGAGATATCAGCTAATGTCACCACTGCCTGTGGAAAACTGTGCCAGTATTCAGTTCAATTGCTCTATCTGCACATAGTCATGCCCATGAGTTCCCCCCAAGTATTCTGCCAGCTCGCCCCCTCATCCCCTGGGCCATCATTACTATGGCTGGGAATGCCACTATGCTCTATGAATCCCAAGCAGAAGTGAGAATGTAGGGCTTGTAACTTGTGTGATCAAGCGGAGTGAATGCACTCACAATAGTATCTCTGCCCACTGTTCTTTTCGCAGCTGCAAAAGTGGTCTTGAGGGTCTCTCCATCCACACCAGCAGAGCGGCTCAGCCAGAAAAGGAGAAAGAAGAGGACAAGGGAAGACATGTTCCAGGAAATCTTGAGCCTCGGTGCTTTGGATACTGAGCAGAGGGCTTGGAGGATGATGCTCGAGGACACAATGGACAGGGATAGTGAAGACAGGAGAAACAGGCAGCAAGAGATTATAACACTTCTCAGGGAGCAAACAGACATGCTGCAGTCTCTGACTGATCTTCAGGCTCAACAGATCTGTGCTTGCCTCCCCCTGCAGCCCACAGAGAACTGCATTCCAGGACCTCCCTACACACTCCTTCCTTTACTACATGGCATCTGGGGCCAGTGCCATACCCCTACCACTCCACCCTGGGGGAAGAGTACAGACAATCACAGCTGCACATACATCAACTGTGTCTCTCACAGGTCAGTGACTGTGTGTTTGTGAAATGGAAATGACTGTTCTTTCCCCTTCAGAGGTTCTTTTCCCTGTATTTATAAAGTTTCATTCAGTTATAAATACGTCTGTTTTCACAGGTTTGGAATAAAAGTCCTATAGTTCACACTATATGCTGGCTGGGGCTGACATCATTCACAGATAATAGTAATGGGGCTGTTGCAATGTTCTATTTCTACATACACAGCACTCATTACAAGGCTCATACCATGGTGAAAAACAAAACAAAACGATGCCAGGCACAGCACAGCAACACACATTACTGTGTCTCATTGTTAAAATGGCCTTTCAAAGCCTCACTGAGCTGTATAATTCCCTGTTGAGCTCTTCGTATAGCCCTAGTATCCAGCTGCTCAAAATCAGCAGACAGCCATTCCACCTCCACCCTAGCAGAAATGTCTCCCTCTTTGCTTCACAGATATTATGAAGTGCACAGCAGGCAACTATGACCATAGGGATATTTTTTTCACTGAGGCCTTAACTTATGAGTAGGCAGTGCCAGCGACCTTTCAGATGTCCAAAGGCACATTCAGGTATCATTCTGCACCTGCTGAGCCTGTTGTTGAAGCACCCCTCGCTGCTGTCAAAAGGGCAGGTGTACAGCTTCATGGGCTATGGGAGCAAGGTGTAGGCTGAGTCTCTGAGGACCACTATGAATGATCCTTGCTGGGATTCTATACTATGAAGAACTGGAAGAACATTCAGAAAGGGATATTTAAATTAGAGATTAGGAAAAACTTTCTAACTCTAAGGATAGGTAAGCACTGGAATAGGCTTCCAAGGGAGGTTGTGCTATTCCCATCACTGGATGTTTTAAGAACAGTTTAGACAAACACCAGTCATCAGGGATGGTCTAGGTTTACTTGGTCCTGCCTCAACACAAGGGACTAGACAACCTCTCAAGGTCCCTTCCAACCCTTCTTTTCTATGATTTGTATGATTGTGCAAGGGATAGGTAGACAACAGGATGGTGTGCGGTCTTCCCAGAGCTAAGATACAAGACATCACTCTGAGATTGGATAGGCTTCTGAAGTCAACGGGCAAGGATCTGCCACTGATGGTTCATAATCAGCTCTAATGATACTGTATTGCAGGATCTCTCTCAGACAATATAGGACTTCAGGGAACTCAGAAGCATGCTGAAGTAGTACGTCCAGTGGATCTTCTCAGAGATCCTTCCTGTTCTGTGAGTGAAGGAAGACAGAAGCAGAAGATTCTGAAAGTGAACCATTAATTAGTGTGCGTTTGAGGGTTTGGGTTTTGTGGAACACACCCCACAGAAGGTGGGCCAGAGGGGCTGTATAGTTTGGATGGTCTCCATTTCAGTAGAAGGGGGACCAATCTTCTTGGGGACAGGCTGGCTAGCATAGTCAGGAGAAGTAATAATGAAAAGGGAGGGTAAAAAGAGAGAAGAAATGAGCATTTAGCATAAAATCAAGATGTTGAGAACAAAATTAATCAAGGAACCAAAGGACATGGAGAAGAAATTCTTTAATTGCCTATACATTAATGCTAAGAGCCCGATTAACAGACAAGAGGAATTGGAATTGCTCATTTATAATCATAAATTTGATCTAGTTGGTATTACTGAAACATGGTGGGATGAGTTACATGACTGGAATGTTAAAATCAATGGTTATAACATATAGGAAGGATTAAGTGGGCAAAAGGAGTGGGGGACTGTCACTCTGTCAACAATGGCATTACCTATTTGAGTCACTGACAACTTGGAAGAAAAATGATCTTCTGGATCAATGCTTATGGATCAATGTCCTAATAGATAAAGCACAAGACAGGGTATTAATTGGTGGTATAGATTACCAAATCACAATAGGAAACCGGATGACTGGCTTCTTAAGCAACTCTCTATAATGTGCTGGAGGGGGTGGGGGAAGCTGCATGATCACGGGGGACTTCACTTTGAGTGACATATGCTGCCAATACTAAAACATCTTTGGAATTTTAAATTATAGAAGACAATTTCCGAATTAAAAAAAAAAAAAAAAGTGTTGTAAACAACATTGGGGAATTCTTTACTAGAGCTTGTCTTAGCAGATAAAGACCTGATCACGGAACTAAAAATTTATGGTAGCTTAGGTATAAATGATCACAACTTGTTCACATTTGTAAAGTACAAACCGAGTGAAGTTCAAACCAGTAATATATACACACTTGCTGCTTTAAGTGGGAAAATTTCACAATGTTCAAGGCAATTATGAACAAAAACAACTGGAAGGAAGAATTTGAATGGGAAAATGTGAGTAATTGGAAAACTTTTAAGAACACTTTACTTGATGCTCAAAAAGCCAGAATCAAGAAAAGGAGTACTTGTGGCACCATAGAGACTAACCAATTTATTTGAGCATAAGCTTTCGTGAGCTACAGCTCACTTCATCAGATGCATACTGTAGAAAGTATAGAAGATCTTTTTATATGCACAAAAGCATGAAAAAATGGGTATTTACCACTACAAAAGGTTTTCTCTTCCCCCACCCCACTCTCCTGCTGGTAATAGCTTATTTAAAGTGATCACTCTCCTTACAATGTGTATGAGGATCAAGGTGGGCCATTTCCAGCACAAATCCAGGGTTTAACAAGAACGTCCGGGGGGGGGGGGGGCGGGGAGAGGGGTAGGAAAAAAACAAGGGGAAATAGCCACTCCCAGTCTCTATTCAAGCCTATTTCCCCTTGTTTTTTTCCTACCCCTCCCCCCCGGACGTTCAGACCGGAAATAAGGCTTTTTTTTTTTTTTAATAGTGAGGGTAATAAATCATTGGAACAATTTACCAAGGGTTGTGGTGGATTCTCCATCACTGGTCATTTTAAAATTTAGATTGGATTTTTTTTTATTCAAAAGAAGTTATTTTGAGAGAGAAATATTTATTATTCCTGGGCAGAAGGGCAAAGGACCAGATTTTCAAAGTTATTAGGCATCTGTCTCCAACTGAAATTATGCAGTGTTGCAGCCATGTTGGTCCCAGGATCTGAGAGAGATAGGGTAGGTGAGGTTATATCTTTTATTTGATCAAGTTCTGTTGGTGGACGGGATAAGCTTTCGAGCTACAAAGTGCTCTTCCTCAGGAAGAGGTGAAACTGAGGAAAAGCTTTGTTTAGCTCGAAAGCTTGTCCCTTTCACTGACAGAAGTTGGTCCAGTAAAAGATGTGACCTCACCCACCTTTTCTCTCTGTTGAAAAGAATGGGAGTTAGATGCCCAAATATCTTTGGGAATCTAGGCCAGAAATCTTAGTGCTAACATCTAACAAGGTCCATAAGCTGAAGAGCCACTCTGAAGTAGTTACAAATGTGTTACATGCCTGACAGCAGAATCTTTGTTGAAAATGGAGAAAATAAAGCCACTTGACTGCCTCAGTCTGGAGGGGTGGGAACCTGACAGACAAGAAGAAGTGGTGTGTACAGGGCTTCCTAATTTTCCTGGAAGTATGTAGTGTTGCAGAGAAACCAGAGAGGGTGAAATGCTTCACACTGCTCCAGGTGGTAGGCTAGGAGGCACTGGTCACATACAGTACACTCTGGTGGCTCTTCTCACAGCTGGGACCGGCATTACTTCTGCTTTCACTGTTTGAGAGAGTGGAGCAGGAAACCACAGTGGCAGCAGCATACAAAAACAATCTCAGCAGGTGTCAGATTGCTGATTGCACACCATCTCTACAGTGTTCAATCTTTTGCCATCATTTGGTTGCTATGACAGCACTGTCTCCATGGCAACCCCTCAGCTGAGGCATCCCTTGGGGATAAGAGTGGGGAAGGAGAGAGCATATATTAGAGAAAGGGTGGCAGACACAGAAAGGGTGGGATAGAGGAAGTTGAGAATTCATTCTTGATTACATTTGAGATCCAGCAGCCAAGATCCAGCAGCCAAAGGTAGCACATGGTCTAGGTCACTTCCCTCCTTTCTCTTACACCACAGCACCCCCAGACATTTCATACACAGGACAAGAGCTCTTGTTCAATCCCTCTTGTAGGCAGGGCTTCCAGGACAGTGACCTGGGTTCAATCTTGAGGGTTTCCCTTTGTTGGGCCTCCTTCTCTCCTGGAAGTGGGGATAATATTTCCAAGGCCTGGCCTTCCTTCATCTTTAGGAAACAGTTGTAGAAATAGAAAGGCAAGGAGTTGGCATGGTGGGCTCCTTGTGCCTACAGCCTTGGGGGATGGGAGAGGAGCTCTTGGAAGGAGAGTGCTGCAGGATCCTGTGGCTGGCTCTGCTGATGTGGAGGTATTGGGGTAGGTACTGCTTTCCCCCCCCTCCATCCAGATTTCCTGGCAGAGAAATGGCCAAGGCATGAAATACATGGGCTATTTAGAGGTTGGAAACTGAGCTGGTGATGAGTGAGGATAAGTCCTGAGGGGACCTCAGCATCACAGCTGATGGGCATGGGGGAGCCAAGGATTCCAGAGTGGGAGGGAAGCACTGGAGGAGAATATGGGGGGGATTTTATATCAAAGGTAATTAATATAACAGCTGAAGAGAATGTCAAGGGAGGGGGCTGAGGATGAGGATTTCCGTGTGCATCAGTGGTGGTGGGGGGCAGTGTTCCATTACGGAGGGATTAAGGAGAATATCTTGGGTGCACCATGGAATGGAGTACATCAGACAGAGAGAGGTATGAGAAAGCATGTAGAGAAGGAATGCACCAGAGAAGGGCTCAGGGGAACAGCCTTGCTGGAGAATCAATCCAGATTGGGAAGGGGTCAAAAGTGCCTGGAGTGAGCAGATCAGGAGAGCATGAGAGAAAGGGTGAAGCAGGGAGGGAAGGGTATTAGGGGGAATGCATCAGAGGAGGCCAGGTGAACACTAGTGTGAGATGGGGGGGCAATCAGATACGGCTGGGGGATAGGATATTTATCAGGGAGAGTTGTAGGAGAACCAGAGAGAGGAATGGGGTGCATTTATCTCCTCTACCCTCCCATCCCTCCATAACTTTGGCTTTCCTCTTTTGGCTTCAAAAG